GTGTAGAGCGGCCTGGCCACCGCCACAAAGGCCTGCTGACGTCGGCCGCTGTGGTGCTCCTGCTGCTTGCTGTCTCCTCCCCCCTGTCAGGGCCCATTGATGTGACAGAGCCCCTGCACCACCCTGTTCCCCCATTCAGCAAGGCCGCACCGCGCGTTGATGATCTCGCCATACGCCAGCCACTCGGGGGTGATGAAGCCGCCAGAGTTGACCGGGTCAAGCTGCGGTCGAGAGGCGCGGGGGCGGCGCGCGGCGCGTCACGGGTCTGCAGGGCTGCGCGAATGCAGCGCAAATGCAGCTGCGCGGGCGGCGTCCGAAGGCTTCCAGCGGACAGAGCCGCCCTGTGCGGTTGTCACGCGTGCCTGTTTGCAGGCGCTCTCCTGTTTTGCCGCCTGGTCACTGGTGCAACCTCGTCGAACCAGTCGACCCCAAACCCACGGGGCAGAACTGACACACAAACTCCGCCAGGGTTTGGATCCACCTTGGCTCTGCACACTAGGCTGGAGGACGCCCCTCCGTATTCGCATCGCATTGCACGCGACATGCTGGCACATCACAAACATACAACGACACTAACGTGCAGACGACACGACTCAGCACCCAGATACAAGCTCTATGTTTCTCTCACTCGTGCGCACGCGGTGTGGACGCACTCACCAGGCCCAGGGGGTCGAAGCCGAAGTCGCCGGGCAGGGAGCCGTCCAGGTAGGTCAGGGACGCCTCGCTGGGGAAGAACAGCTGGTCCTTGGAGCGGTCGACCTGGGCAGAAAAAAAAGGCGGCGGCGTGGGAGGGCATGTGTGTGAGTGTGGGTGGTACACGTGTGAGCGGGAGAGAGGGGAGCCTGTGTGTGCCCGTTGAGGTCAGCCGTGGCTCCGTGAGTTGTAGGGAAGCCGGGAAGGACCGTTGCCGTGCAGACCGCTGCGGCGGCGGTTTGTACAAAGACGCGGGCGGTCCAGCTGGCTGAGACGAGAGGCCCGTCAGCTGCGGAGCCCGGCTTGCTGCGCGTGGTGCGGTCGCGCTGCAGTCGTGCTGCAGGCCGCCGCGCGTTGCAACAGCACTCACAACACTGTAGTCCTCATCACCGCTGCTCAGGCTCACTTCTGCAGCAAATGCATGCTTACTGGCGCTGCTGCTGCAAGTGTGTTGCTCCAGCCCCACTTGCCACGGCTCAGCACTCCTGCAGCAGGACTGAGGCGTCCAGGGCACAGCCCCCTGGCGCCGCAGCGGGTGCATCTGGCGAGATCCGCGCCGCTGCCTGCCGCGGCGCCGCTGCTCCTGGAGCCTCTTTGCGCTGCCGCTGACCACCTTTCCCGTTTGATTCGTTTCTTTGTTTGCTAACGCGCGCACCTTGGCCAGAGAGGAGCCCTCCTCGGCGCGGACCACCACGCTGCGGGTCGCAGCGGGCCGAGCCCGGCTGCCGAACACCTGCGTCGTCGCCTGCGAGAAAGAATCACCAAACACGCGGCAATCGTCAACATTTCTGCAGGAGACGCACAACCTGAGGTCCCTTGGCCATGGGTGAGATCCAATCACTCACCGCGGCGTGCTTGAGCATCATTTTGGCGATGTGTGGTGTTCAGATGATCGAGCTCGGTTGCTAGGACTCGGAGGGTGGTGCTGCATTTGCACCTCATGGTTGGCGAGTGCGCGGGTTCACCAGCGGGGGTTTTAGCACAACAGCTCTCCGGGACCCTAGGGACGATGTGTTGCCTTCAAGGAATGTCGAGCTACCGTCTCAATTTTCCGCGCAGGGGAGCACGTGTGCTTGGCGTGTGTGTTGCGTGCGCGCGCGCGCGTTTTGTGTGCTCTGCTGGTGCAATACGCTCGCATTGACAGCTCTTGAATCAAGAGCTCTCATAAGATGCTTAAACGTGACACAATAACATCTGCTGTGTGGTGTGATTGCTAAAGGGTCGGCCGCGCTCAACATCGGCCTTGCGTAGTGGTCTGTGCGCAAGCAGTCCAGCAGGCTGCAACTGAACTCCATGCTGATTCCAAGGTGCGAAGGGCGCTGGAGCTGTGCCGCATGCCAGCTGCCCGGGCACGGATTTTCTCTTCATCACGGACCAACCCCCGACCCCCAGCCACGACCGACCCCTCGCCGCGATTCCGCCCCTGGCGAACATGAAGGCCGTTGCTGCTGGCGCTCCCAAAGCAGCTTCACACAGCGCATGCAAGCAGCTGCCTGCTGCCAGCGCCAGAAAGATCCTTGTCGCATTGGTGTCCGTCTATGGCCCCATGCACTTCCTACGTTGACGCGACCCCCACGGCTTTCCTCCAGACAGCTACTGCAGAAGCTGCCGGACTGTAATGCCAGGCTTTCCTCAACCATGCGCACACCCGCCGGCTTCACTCACCTGAGTTTCATGACACTACAAGAGCATAGGAGGGCTGCTGCTGCTTTTCGCAAGCATGCATGGCAGGGCGGCAACACGGCACGGTGGTCGATGGCACCCAGCACATGCACTGGCAGTGACGACAAATGATGAATGCGATAAGAGGCGTGGCACACAGCCGTGGCGAAGGCTTTACAATGGCGCTTTCGCGTTCGTTCACGCCTGTGTCTAGATCCTCGCCGCTTCTGCAGCAGCGATACTTGCAAGCGGTGGTCACCCGAACCTCATCCTCTCAGACCGCGATGGTGGCCACGAAGCTTGCGACCGTTGAAATAGATGTGGTCAGTGATACCGTCTGGTGAGCCCCGCTGAGCGATTGCCTGCGAAACGCCGCGCGGGCAGCAGGCAGCCTCCACGCAACAGCGCCCGTCGCCCCCGGCGTCATTATGAGCGGCGCCCCCGAGCTCGCATGCGAGAACGCATTTCGACCACTCAGCAGTAAAGCTTGATCCGGAGAGCACGTTGCTTCGTGCGCACTTTCTGGCTTACAAGCACCCAAACGCGCACGTCACTCTCTTCGAACCCGCCAGCCTGGCTCACATCAAGCCCCTCGCAGCAACCCCAGCGCGCAACCCCTCCCTGCGGACCGGCCCCTCACAGCCCCTGGTGCTATGTGGGCAAGGCGCGGCTGACCAGGGCGATGGCAAAATACGAGGGCCTCCTCGACTTCCGCGTGCGGTGGTGAGCCCCTGAGCACCGCTCGCCCCCCGCAGCACCTACGCAGCGCAACGCAGAGCGGCGCCGCCGGCCGCCGCAGGACACGGCAGTGTCGGGCGGGCCCGGGCCACGCCGCGGGGATCCCTAACCCCCCCCCCCTCGAGGCTCTGGAGCATGACGTGTTGCCCCCCACGCGCGTGCCGCCCTGCACTTGAGCACCCGCGCATGTTGGCGCGCCCTGCACGCAGACAAGCGCCCGCGCCGGCCCTCGCGCTTTGTGCGCGCAGGTTTCCATTCCAGCTCAACCCTCTGGCGTCGTATGAGGGCGAGAACAAGCTTCAGATGTACAATGACAAGTTTGGGCCTGGCAGGGTGGCGCAGATGATACCCATGATGACGGTGGGTGTGCCTACAGGAGATTTGGGGGGTTTCGAGGGGTTGGGAGTCGGGGCGGGGAGAGGGCTGCTCTTCATGTGTGTGGTGGGTGTGGGAAATTGGTGTAAATCTGGCGCAGGTAATGCCACTGGCGATGGCGGTCGGTTTCTTCTGACTTTTTGGTTGGCGTTATGTCCTGCTTCGCGTGGGAGTCATATGCATGCATCGTGAGCGTACTTGTGTATGCCATGCATGCCCGCCCCATCCTATCCGCACCCAACCCTACCTGATTCGCACACCCCCTGCGACCCCTCGCCTTGCAATTCCCGTCCACCCCAGCGCACCTATGCCGAGGAGGGCCTGCCCCCATACAACATGGACGGCCTGACCGGCAACACCCTCAACAGCCACCGCCTGCTGCTGTGGGCGGCGGAGGCGCACGGCCTGCAGGCGCAGAACCGGCTGGTGGACGAGCTTTTCAAGGTGGGGGGCCGGCCGGTGGATTTTAGAGGGCACGGGGCCCGGCCCTGCTGGGCTTGACCACTGGCCCAGGGGCTGGGTCTGGCGGGGCCCTGGTGGGTGCGGCCGCCGGGGCCTGGTGGGTGCGGCGGCTGGGGCCTGGTGGGCTGGCCTGCAGGTCGTGACTGTGCGCCTCCATTCCCTGGCTGTTGGCGTCGACAGCATCCGCCACGGCGTGTGCGCTGCAGCAAGCGCCCTGCGTTCCGAGCTGTCGCCCGTGCGCTTCCAAGCCGTTCCGCTTGACGCCTTGCGCCTTTGCCCGTCCCAAACAGCCTATACCCATCAAGAATGAGCCATTTCCTTGTCATGGCACCGCGGCACGAACGACACCCGAACCATGGTCAGCGCCACGCCCAGCGTTGCACCTCAAAACGCTTTCACACCCATGCATCCAACCTATAAAACCCCGCCTCCGCCGCGACAAACACACCACCCCAGGGCTACTTCACCGGGGCGCGCTTCATCAACGACAGGGCCTTTCTCCTGGAGGCGGCCGCCGCGGCCGGCCTGCCCTCGGACGCTGCAGCAAAGGTGCGGGCGACGGCACTCCCCGGCCTCTCGCTGCTATGCTAGGCGCTTGGATCGACCCCAGGCGCCGCGTCGGGGGTTACGCAGATGCCTGGCAATGTGTCGCAGTGCTGCCCATAGCAGCGCGCCCTCGCCTGCTGCCTGGTGGTGGTGGCGCCCATGAGGCGCCCGCCGGCGCGCAGCGCATAGCCGCCCCAAAAGCGGCCGGCCCGGCGGCGAGCACGGGACGCTTGCGACCAACCGGCACCGCTCAAATCCAAGTGATTGCATCGACCCTGTTGTCTGGCGCAAGTCGCCGAGCATTTGTATACCAGTTCGCTAGTCCTTACTAACCCTTTGTCCATCTGGTTGATCTCATCTTCGGCGGACACCATTTGCAGGTTTTGGATGACCCTGAGTCTTACCTTGAGGAGACACAGCAGGAGCTGCGGCGCTACCCTGGTGGGGTCCTTCAAACTCGCGTGCGCGCGCGCCAGGCCTTGCGGGTGCACGCATCTGGGCGCGTGTGCGTGGTCGCGAGCGTGCAGCGGCGTGCTGGGCGCGCGCTGCGCCTGCGGGTCTGTCGGCGGGTCGTCCTTGGGCCAGCAAGCGTTCCTCATTATGGCCTCACGGGCATGCTGCTCGGTGCTCTTGCCGCCCACTTCGTCGGCACCACGCCTCCGGAGGGGATCCCCTCAGGCTCTCCCCCCCAAAAACCCCTCGCAACGCCGCCCATTTTCAATTTCCACACCCAATGTTTGCGTACCCCAACGCCCCAACTTTGATCTTAACAGGGGTGACGGGCGTGCCACACTTCGTGATCAGGGCCGCGGGCGACCAGCGGCCCCTGGCGCGGCTCGGGGGCGCGCAGCCGCCGGAGGAGTTTCAGGAGGTGAGTCATCGCTCATGTCGATGACGTCACCCCGACAGGCCTCCCCTGCCTGTCCCTCCCTTCCCCATGACACCCACCCACTGCCTCTCGCTGCTGCCTCAGGCGGAATCGTCGGCTGCGCTTTGGGCTTGGTTGCGTTAGGGCCGGCGCTGTGCGCAACGCTATGCCGTCTGGCCTGGTCTTAGCCCACCTCCACACCACCTCAGCTTTGAAGCATTCGCATGATGCCTTTGCCCTCATCATTCAGGTGTTCGAGGGCATTGTGGCGCGCGCGCAGCCGGGGGGGCCGGGGGCCAAGGCGGCGGCGGCGCCGGCCGGCGCCGACGGCGCGGCGTGCGGCGTGGGCGGCGGCGGCGGCGCGTGCTGAGCGGCGGTTGCCTGGCAGCTGGGGCGCTGGGGCGGGCGGGGTGGCGTTGGTGGCGTTGGTG